TGCAATGAATCCTGAAATCGGCGATCCCATTGATGTCCCTCGTAGTTGTTCATAATATTCTCCGTTGAAGTCAAAATCTGTGACCAGGCATAAGTCGAGTAATCTGCAGAGGTCTTCCTTCTACAGCGACCCAGTTGGCGTGTCGTTGTTGTCCAATAATTCGGCAACAGTTGTCTTGGCTGAATCGAGATCTACAGACGTGAATGGTGAGCTGACATCAAATGAGACCATCATTTTGTCCTGATCGATGCATACGTGTTTTAGTTTCTTCAAAAATTGTCCCGTATTGTTGATTGAGTATTGCGACCCACCGATGAGATACTTTAACCTTTTCCATAGTTCTTTCGAAAGATTTCAGGTCGCTGTTCCAGGAAGTGATACAATTGGCCGGAGAGGTATTGATTCTTTGTGTACCTTTGGGAGTCCGTAGAAGCGAGGAATGGCCGAATCACGAGCTCTCACTCTCCAATATTACTCTTTTGTAATCTTGTGGAGATCTTGTGGTTGCTTCAAGTTCTTATAGATTTTGCTTGCTAGCTGCTTGCTTGGTCGCGTTCTAAGCGGCGGTACGTAGTTGTGTCGTTGGGTAGTGCCTTTGCTTTGTTGATCTAGTCCGGTTGGTCCATGATCGCCGTTAGGCGTCCCTTGTCTGCCGGTAGAATCACGATGTTTTTATCCCTCTTCAACTTGTTCGTTGCTTCTTTTTCTTTGACGAAAGCACGTTGAGTAGTTTGTTGCGTGTGACGGCTTCGACGACGCCTGCATATTGGCCCAAGCAAGAACAAAAAACGAACGCGAATTTATGGAAGCATGGTACTCCACCGAAGAGACGATTAACAAGCACATCGAATTTGATCCCATTTATCAGCCATTAAGTGTGAGAGAACTCCAGAACCACCGAGCTTAAAGCTGCAAAATCAACCAGACGAGGAAATCATAAGAGAAGGAGGAAAACATCATTCAAACGGACACATCAATTGGATTGGAGGAAGCGCCCAATCAAAGCACCAAATCAACCGACGGACGAAGGGACGTTGACCGCTACGGTGGAGGAAATAGGGCGGCGCAAGCAACCAATCAAACTCAAGAACGTCAGACCACAACGCAATACAACCCGAGGCCGGAGAGAACGAACTATTAAAAATAGAAGGCGTGAGGATAACCAATCCACACAAAGGAACGCAGACCACAACGCAACGAAGATCACAAATGGACCAATAGATTCGCCAAATTTGTTACACTTTAAGTGGCCACTCACGTCAGGAGATAACAGATAGCCCTCGAATGCTATATAAGCGCCCGCAGGCAAGGAAGAAGTACCCACTCAACTGCGCACTGATGATGTCCCCTCGTATGGTGACGAAACGTTTGCAAGCCAATTGCCAAGCTCGGCGAACAGATCAACAGCCACTTGATCAACAACCAATAAACTCATTCGAGCTACCAATATTTCAACAAAATACCTCATAATTCTCAAAGCGGTACAATGCGTGACAATCAGGTTTTTTCCAGTGGTCTTTTTTTTATCTTCACTTTCTTTGAGGCTAGTGAGGGAGCTGAGATCAAATGTACGATGTTTTTCAAGGAATGAAGCTTGGTGTGCCAAGAATAAAAAACGTTTTAACGGATTGTTAATTATTTCCTTATATTTCAGCTGATGAACTGTAATTACCTCATTTGGAAATCGTATGATAGAAAACAAAGTGTACATGTTTGAGTGCTTATTTCAGAGCTCAAGTAGCGCAGTTGTTCAGGAATTTTGGATGGAGCGTTTGTTATTTCGAAATTCATCAGTGCATATTTTACCAGTATATCCGAATAAGGAGAACATTAGCAAACGACTACAAATTAGGATGTGACACAATGACACAACGCGAACAGATGTGTCGGGAATGACATTAAAAAGACTGTCTTTTGACTCAGTTAGGTAAAGTCCCCTGTGAGATTTTACGTTTTATTTTAATCAACGGCCCTATAAAACCATGAATTTACGATAGTTGAATTAAACCTGTTGCTTTGCTGAGAAAGTGGCCCAAAACCTAATTAGTGGGACTGGAGTTTGCGTTCATGATTGCGGAACCAAAGGTGGCATATGTGTCACTACCGATTGAAACACTTATCAGTTAAGAACGTCTAGGCTTCATTTACACAAATGAGGCAACCAGTGAGCTTCTCAGATGTTCCAAGTCCACTGGGATATTTCTTTGAATGCCCTATACACAACGCCATATATCTGGAAAAAGCGTGTAAAACCCCGAGGAAGCAAAATCTCTCTTGCGACTGACAGGTTCCATACTAATCAAAGGAACTGATATGATATGGATATATACGCATCCAAGCTATTTTGACACACTCTCTTTTAGCGCCATAAATTCTTTTCTTAAATCGGGTTCGGTTGCGTAATATTCCTGGCAAATTCTAGCTAAATATTGCCCGAAATTGGTTGGTTTGGTAGCAGTTCACTGGAATACTCCCCAGCAAACAAATTGCACCCGGTAAACCGGAGTGCGGCAGCCAGACCTCTGTGATAGTGAGCACAATGCGTTTTAGAGAAATCACAGAAATCAAACCTGTTTGTGAGCAACGCTATCAACCGTATACCGTACGTGCGAACGGGTTTGGATGTTTTCCCAGTCACGAGTTATATAGATAAGATATCCGGAGTGGTAACCTATAGCCGCCTATCAAACTTGTATGGGTTTTGGACCATAAACTACGATGACCTGTGGCAAATCACGGAAGTTAATTATCATCAATGGTGCGTGCACTACGTAGGTCTGGTGGGCTTATGATATTTCCCTATGCCTGTATGGCAATCCAAACAGTCTCTCGGTGTAACACTAGGGTAAAGGTACATTATTGAACCGTTTACGCCCTCCATATGTTGGTCAAGCTCTATTAACTCAGCGGAACGTCGTCTTTCACCGCACATTACAGGCCTCGACAATAATTCAAAGACTCGTGTGTTGCAAACACCGCACATATTATATCAACTGCACTGGAGGTAGAGACAATTTGAATAATGTTGCCCGATTGGGTTTTACAACCACATATTATAAGCCACTGAGGTCCGTGAATGTGAAATGCTTGCATGATTAAAGTACATGTGCACATTAGATACGCAAGCTATCGTGGTTTTAAAGTCTCATTTGCGCGTCAAACTAACCACGCTTTGTGCAAAATCATTATACAGCTGCCAATGGGGGATTGTGCTGATGTAAAAGATTGATATTCCGGTGGCTGTTGTTTCTATGAGACCTGAAACACAGCTAGGTGGATTTCACACGTCGCATAAATTTTGCTCCAATCTAGAATGTAGGGCAGTTGCGGACCAAATGTGTAATGAGTTCGCAAGACAACAACACAGCTCTTTGGATTCCGAATGCTTTCCAGGAATTTCACGAGAAGTGCCCACTCAAAAGGATAATATGCCTTGGCATTTCAAACCTTTACGCTGTGGGCCAGGTGCAAGATTCCAGACTCAATCCCTCCAATTGCACTTTTTTTACGGAGTAACCATATGTTTTGTGAAGAATTATTTTGTTGCGGCGAATCGAATTCTAGCTTGCCATGTTTAATTTTTGAGAACGTTTACCACAAATGCTTGCTCATTTTGCCACCATGTTCTATTCCTATTACGAATGTGAAGCTGGCACATACCGCTAACGTATATTTAGTTCACCGTGGTCAATGTAAACATGCGGTAGTGTGCTAATTACTGATTTCCTCTGGTGTATCATACTGTGTGGCACGCA